CGGACATATCTCACCCGCGCAGCAGGTGGTCGCCACATATGAGCGCCAAACACCACTGTCTCACTGTATAATCGTGGCAGCACTTTCTCTCCGCGCGCACACGCGTACGTCGACCTCCACCACCATCACCACCACCACCTCCATCATCATCCATCACCACCAGTGATCCTTCGGGCGTGTGCTCTGGTCATGGAGCGGTGTGGTGACTCCGGGTCGAGTTCCGAAACCTGCAGGTGTTTCAGCCCCTCCATCGCCGCCTGCGATGCTGGATGGCCCACTGCTGCACGCGCTCGTAGCTGGCGCGAGACATGGAGCGTACATGAGCGCACTCGTGTGAGGGGGGGGGGAGCAGGGACAGAGAGAGAGAGAGAGAGAGAGACAGAGAGAGAGAGAGAGAGAGAGAGAGAGAGAGAGAGAGAGAGAGAGTGTGTGTGTGTGTGTGTGTGTGTGTGTGTGTGTGAGTGTGTGTGTGTGTGCAAGTGCGAGCGCATGCAGGTAGCGTGATGCACACACGATGAACGAAACACCAAACGGCCAGGAGGCACTTGGAGACAGGACAGCACAGAACGAGTCGAGATGAGGGCATTGCGGTGTGTGAGATGGATACGGGTACGGTGCAGGGAACCGACCGTGGTGAACGGGTGCGCGGGTGATGGCTGGCTGGCTCTGGCGCGTCTGTCACGTTCATGGTGGTGGTGGTGGTGGTGGGCATGAAAGTGAACAACGCGAATTCGATACAGCACGCGCAACCCACCATGCATGCCCGCACACACATGTCATGCATCGTCGTACCATGTATGTGTGAGGAGGGGTGTGCGTCTTCTTTGGAGTCGTGCGAACGGCCTGCATACACACCAGAGGGAATGCAGTGAAACTGAGCAAGCTCAGATACACATGCGCATACATCCACACCCACACACCCACACGCATCCCAGGCGCAGCGCTGTTTCGTACGTCGCTGGATGTGATGACGGCGCCTGGCGCGGCGGTGTCGAGCTGCGCCACGTGGCGCGCCCCTGGCCGCATCACACACGGAGTGTAAGGTCACACGCGGTGTAAGGTCACACGCAGTGTAAGGTCACACGAACATACACGCGTTTTCTTAGGCCGCAATCCCAACCTTCAGAGACACAACTGCAGTACACACACACACACACACACACACACACACACACACACACACACACACACTGATGTGTGCACCTCTGTGTTTCCTGCGCGGTGGGCGCGGGCTGCTGGTGGCGCCTTGTGGGAAGAGACCCGGGTGCACTGGAGAAGAGGCGGCGTCGACAGGGTGCTGTGTTCTGCTGCTGCGGTGCTTGGAGCCCTTGACCAGCTTCGCAGCCTGGTGCGCATGCTTCGACTGGTGCGCAGCGCGGCGCCGCTCCTAACACGCGAATGCAATGTCGTGGGTAGAGGGTTGTGAGCAACAGGAACAAACGTGCAAGAGACGCTGTGCAGCGGGTGCTGGGGACACCAGAACAACACAAGTGCGTGCATGGGTGTGCGTTCGCGGATGGCTGGAATCACATTCATGTACAGGTACGCACCAGCGTGGGTGCCGATATCCTGTACTCGTCAAGGTCGTGAATCGTGTCCTGCAATACCGACCGCACGCATCGCGCAACATGAACGAGCAGCAACTGTCGATCCACGGCACAAACACACAGCCACACACACACACACAGCCACACAGCCACACATCCACACACACACACACACAGCCACACAGCCACACTTTCACAGCCACACACACACACACACACACACAGCCACAGACAGCCACACACACACACACACACACACACAGCCACACACACACACACACACACACACAGCCACAGACAGCCACACACACACACACACACGTACATCCCACGGCGGCTTGTCGTGTCGGCGGGCCTTGGGGCGCCTGGCGCGTGCATCGCGGCGCGGGTGGTGATCAGGGTTGCTGCTGCGGTGCTGCCGCTCAGCAGGGCGCAGCCCCGTACGCGATGACATGCTTGCTCCGTGACGTGGAAGCCGGTCGTGATTGACGTGACAAAGTGATGGTGCTGCCGGTGGGCTATCAGTGGACTGTGTCGTGTTGGTTTTTGTGCTTCCTGACGTGGTGACACCAGTGTCTGGCCCACAACCTCACTCACTGTTGGATTGCCACACCGCCACCGCCGTTGGCACTGCAGCACTGACACTGGCGAGGAAAAAAAGGTTGTAGTTTCAAGGTGAGACAAGTCACAAACAGTTGCGAGGAGGTGGGGCACCGAGCAAGCAAGCGAGCAAGCAAGCAAGGGAGGTCCAGCAAGCCTTCCCTGACACACACCAGCACCACTGCACCACTGCACCACCACCACGCACCCCCAACACACCTTGCCGCTGGCTGGTGCTGGTTGTGAGGAAAAAGTGCAAGCGAGATAACGGACGTCAAATTTGACGTCATCCTGTCAAAATTGACGTGACTTCGGTGCCGCGAACTTCGAATTGATGGTGTCAGGCAAAGGCGCGAAGAGAAGGGCGGTTGGTGTGATGTGATGATGCAAACAAAGAAAGAAGGAAAACGATCAAACCACGCACCATCCACACCATCCACACCATCCCTCGACGACATTCATCGAACCTGCACACCAAACACACAAAACGACGATGGACGGGGACATGATCGTCGCGCAGCCCAGGTCTGTCTCTGGTTTCGGCGTATCTTGCTGTGTTTCTTTGCCTTTCCTTCTTTGCCTTGGCTGCTTGCAAACAACAGATACGACGTGTCACATCACACTGTGCCACAACCACCACACAATCCAACACCTCGCCTCACCCAATCCCACACCTCGCCTCACTCAATCCACGTCTCTCCCTTCTCTGTCTTTCTTTGCAGGCGCGTGTCGCTTGGGGTGCCGATGCAGGGAGGCGGCGGCAACGACCACCGCCAGCACCGCCACCAGCAGCATCACCACTATGACACCTTGAGTTCGAGGGCTGGGCATTCGGGGAGCGGGCACCGCAGGTTCAGCAAGCTGGACGATCCGCTCGAGATGCACGCACACGCACATCCAAAGTCCGAGTTTGAGCACTTTGAGATGCAGCCCATCCACAAGCAGCCGCGCCTGCAGCAAGGGTTTGGCGCACACATGGCGCTCAGCCACACCAACAGGAAAACTGGCGGCATCTGCAGCTGCGAGCAGAGCGAGGTCTTCCCAAAGCGATATGAACTCATTGCCGAGTCGGGTACGTCAGCGCGCCAGCGTCATGTCGTTTTGTGTGCGTGCGCTCTGGAGAAGGGTTGAGGGGTAAAACATCGAGTGCAGGATGCTCGGATGCACACACGCATACACGCACACACGCATACACGCACACACGCATACACGCACACATGCATACACGCACACACTCACGTACATATATCAATTTTATTTACACTCGCATACACATCGCATCACACACATACATTGCACACACATTGCACTCACACCCACCACAGGGGCGGAGTGGTTTGGGCTGCACCAACGGCGTCGGCCGCGCTTTGCGTGCTGGCTTGCAGACTGCCTGCCTGCATGGTGTTCGTTCTGTCCACTGCAGCGGTCTGTCGAGTTGCATAGACGCCACGACGCGCTGCTTCCAGCGCACGCACGCGGCAGTAGTGGTAGCGGCGGCAGTGGCGGTGCTGCTCGGAGTCGATACAATGCGGGGGCGCAGATGCGTGTGGAGGAACAGCCAACCATGACGGTGGATCTTACACCAACGACTTGCATGGTGAGTATCCACGGTGGAGACTGTGTGTGTGTATGTGTGTGTGTGCATATGTGTGTGTGTATGTGTTTGGGTGTGTGTGTGTGTGTGTGTGTGTGTGTGTGTGTGTTAGGGTGTGTTCACGCGTGTTTCGAGGAAGGAGAGTGTATGATGATTGTGCGTGTGTGCAAGTGCACATGTGTTTGTGCACATGTGTTTGTGAGCGTTGATCGTGCATGCACCCGCAAAACAGCACTGTGTTCACGATTACACCGCATTCAACACCACGTTCATACCTCTGCCACTATCACCAGAGCATGCCATGCCTGGATGGCCTTGCGTCACGTGACCGCGCTGTCCTGTACAAGAACGGCCAAGTTGCCGCCCGCGTGCTCAAGCGCGGTGTCATCAACCACATCACGGCCCCGTGTCGCGTTCGCTGCGGCGGATCACAGGTTCGCTGTTGCTTTGGTTTTGGTCGTTGTTTGGAGCATGTGTATTTGTGTATGTGCGTGTATTTATGTGTGTGCGTGTATATGTGTGTGCGTGTATATGTGTATGTGTGTGTATGTGCGTCCTTGTTGTTGACGGAGCGTGGAAGAGGCAGTAGTGGAAGTGCTCCGCCAGAGGTCTAATCTCATGTTGTGTTGCCTGCAGGCAATCTTGTCCGTGGAACCAGTGGGCGACAACACAAAAGGCGTCAGCTCATTCTACATCCCAAGTGGTAAGGCCACCTCTTATGCATGCGTAACACTTGCAAGTTGTCCTCTGTGCGTCTCTGTGCCTCGTGTCTCGCTCTGCCACCCTGTCTCCTTCCTTCCATCCATCCTTCCTTTCCATCACACACGTACATCCCCCCAACACGATCCGCCCCTCTCCCCCTCTCCTCTGCACAGAGCGACAGTGCTGTCGCGCGTGTGGGTGCTGGCTGCTTGCTCCCCACGCCTGCTGCGGTCACGACACACGAGCCACGAGTGCTGTGAAGCGGCGGCCAAGTTACGGCAGTCACACCCCGGCACAATTCCTCGTGCTGCCCATCCTCGAAGCAGGAACAGGGGTGAGATTCGCGCGCGCGCGCGCGCGTGTGTGTGTGTGTGTGTGTATGTGTGCGTGTGTGTGTGTGTGTGTATGTGTGTGGGTGTGGGTGGGTGTGTATGTGTGCGTGTGTGTGTGTGTGTGTGTGTGTGTGTGTGTATGTGTGTGGGTGTGTGTGGGTGTGTTTGTTTGTGCGCGTGTTTGCGCACGTGGATGAAAGGCGCACTGTGCGTATTTCGCGCCATCACATCCATCGACAGCGACAAACTTAGCCCTCCTCCCTTTCGCACATTCGTATTTGTCAACAGGAGAAGAGAGCGTCACTGGTTGTGTCCGGGGATTGGGCACACAGCACACACACGTGCTGCAAGCGCTGCTCTCACCTGGAAGACGACTACGAAGTCCGCGTGGAGTTGATTGCATCACAGGACCGCCCGTGCTCTGAACAGGAAGCGTAAGTTTCCCCTGTGTATGTATGTGTGTGTGTGTGTGTGTGTGTGTGTGTGTTTGTATGTGTTTGTTTGCGTGTATGGGGGACGAGAATAAGCGTTGCTGTTCGACTATTTTCTTTCTTTCTCTCCCTCATCCTGCCAACCTTACTTTCCCCAAACACATCACATGCACGTGTGTGCTCCACACCAATAGGGAGCTGCTTCTTGCCCTTGCGCTGTACTTTGACGACCGCTGGCTCGTGCCCCACCTCCAGCACCCCCTTGGCCCCGTCACCATGCCGAAACTCTGCATGAACATCTGTGATGCGTGATGCATGGCATTGCACGTGTTGGTGGACGTCATGTCTGTTCTGTTGCTTGGCGGCACTCGTCATTGCAAGATTGTACGCCGCGTGACATGTGCTCTTGTGCTCTGGTTGAAGTCTACGTGTGACTTCATGGGTTGATTGTTTGTTTGCTCCCAAGCGTATCGGTTGTGGCTGTGGCCTGGTCATGCATGTGTGAGCGAGACTGCTGTCGTGTTCCTGTGCTCCATTCATAACTTTTGTTGATTCCTTCTTCACCTTCCAGACGTTCTCTCTCTCTCTCTCTTTCTCTGTTTGGCTTGTTGCATTTTGGCTCATGCATCCCCTTGTCGCATGCAACCTTCATCCCATCAGCCACCCTTCTCATGGCACACGCTCTCTCCTCAATGCACACAGTGCGCCTCATGTTACAGTTAAGTTACAGATGCACTTGGCTTTTGTATTCAAACGCAACACACAAGAAACGGGAAGAAGAGAGGAGCAGTGGGTGCATGCATGCAAGCAAGTCAGGACACAAGCAAGCGTACACACACACACACACACACACACACACACACACACACACACACACACACACACACACACACACACACACAAAGCGTGTGCTCATTCGATGGGGCGGCGGCAGATGTAAGGGCGGCGTTCATTGCAGAGACCATCAGCCCAGCGCCCCGTGTTCGTGCCCGTGAGCAGCATGTACAGACACCGCTCCACACGCTTCCCTTCGCCTTCGTTCGACAGCCAGGGAAAGCCAAAGTCAACAACGGGCGTCCCGTCACTCCAGGCGAGCTCGAAGCGGCCGCCCAGCCAGATGCTAGGGTGGTTGGTGTTGTTGGTGGCAAGCTGCGTCAGCCATGTGAGCTGGCTCTGGGAGCTGACGGACGTGATCTCAGCACCATACTGGATGCACTGGTCCTCAGCCTCTCCAAACTCAACCATGGCGGTGGAGACGATGCGATACTCGTAGTGATCGGTGAATTGGGTCCACATCTGCTCCGTCGTGGTCGTGGTGGTGGTTGAGCCAGATCGTGTTGTGGTTGTGGTAGTTGTGGTTGTTTCGTCGCTGGGACGTTCGCAGATGAAGCCACGACGACGCGAGCACCGAAGGGCTTCCCACAGCCCAGTCACATCTCCATCGCTGTTGCGTAGGTTGTGCAAGAGACAGCCTGCCTGGCGGTTGTCAGATGGCTCACCCTCCTTCCACGGCAGGCCAAAGTCAACGACGGGCGTGCCGTCAATCCACTGCAGCTCTTGGGGCTCAGGGAAGATGCCACCAATCCATGCCTCATTGTTGTCGGTACGGGCAATGGCGAAGCCCGTGAGCCACACGTGCTCGTGCAGTGACGTCACAACAGCAAGATGGCCCCCTTGTTCAAAGCAAAACGTCTGTGCCTCTGAGTGGCGCATCTTGTCCTCGTCGTAGACGTTGTACTCGGACCCCTGGAAGGCAACCCAGCCAGATGTGGGCCCAGGGAACGGGGTGACAGACCCAGTAAACTCTGTTGTTGTCGTTGTGCCTTCCGTGGTAGTCGTAGTCGTGGTAGTCGTGGTGGTGGTTGAGCCAGAGCGTGTTGTGGTAGTGGTGGTTGTGGTGGTTGTTTCGTCGCTGGGACGTTCGCAGATGAAGCCACGACGACGCGAGCACCGGAGTGCCTCCCACAGCCCAGTCACATCTCCATCGCTGTTGCGTAGGTTGTGCAAGAGACAGCCTGCCTGGCGGTTGTCGGATGGCTCACCCTCCTTCCACGGCAGGCCAAAGTCAACGACGGGCGTGCCGTCAATCCACTGCAGCTCTTGGGGCTCAGGGAAGATGCCACCAATCCATGCCTCATTGTTGTCGGTACGGGCAATGGCGAAGCCCGTGAGCCACACGTGCTCGTGCAGTGACGTCACAACAGCGAGGTGGCCACCCTCGCTTTGGCAAAATGCCTCGGCGTCACCATGGTGCATCTTGTCTTCGTCGTAGACGTTGTACTCGGACCCTTGGAAGGCAACCCAGCCAGATGTGGGCCCAGGGAACGGGGTGACAGACCCAGTAAACTCTGTCGTTGTCGTGGGCTCGCTGGTTGTTGTGCTACCCTCGTTAACAGTGATGGCCAACTCGTAGTCCACGGGGATGTAGCGGGTGTGGTACACGTTGATGTACACGGTGGTGGCGCTGCCGCTGCCGCTGCCGGGTGCTGTGTAGCTGCCTTGGTAGATCCTGTCATCGGATGACGTGAGCGGGGTACTGCCGCTGGCACCGTGGTACAGGGCGAGTGCGGGGGTGCCGGCCAGGCCCTGGAAGGCAACAGAGACGTCGATGGTGCAGCCTGGGCACAGCTCGAAGGCATACCAGTCTCGATCCTCGGGGCATGCCTCGGCCAGGAGCTGTGACGGCACCGAGGTGATGGCGTATGCGGTTTCGCGCGTATCGCTGGGCTCATACGGGTCGTAGAAGCAAGGGAACCAGGAGCTGATGAAGCTGGTGGACGAGGTGGTGGTGGCGGGAACGGCTGTTGTGGTGGTGGTGGCTTCGGTGATGTTGATGGTGATCTGGTAGGAGGTTGGGCCGTCGTTGCTCGGCGTCTCAGTGTCCTCGAAGATGGGCTGGTACAGGTAGATGTGGAGGAGGTGGGATGTTTCGTCGAGCGTGTTGCTGTGGGTGAGGCTTTCGTCATCAGACTCGGAGGTTGAGGTGTCGCTGGGCGTGCCATCTGCAGCGTAGATGACGGCGTCGATGTCGCCTTGGGCGTTTTGGAAGGTCACCTCAACCTCAACCGTGCATCCCTTGCACACCTGGAGCTCGAACCAGTCGTCTTCGTCCTTGCACACGACACCAGTGAAGGTGGTGCTGGGTGCTGGGGCAATGTCGGCCGGCGTGTCCGAGTCACCGTTCCCAGGGAACACATCACCAGGGCAGCCCTGCGCGGAAACAGCGGCAACGGCCAGGGCCATCGCCACGGCCAACAGTGGGAGCCGCCGCACGGCGCACGCGCCAATGGAGCAGCTCATTATAGTCTGCGGTTGGTGTGGCGGCGATCGGGGAGTTGAGTGGAGTGGCTTCTGCGCTTGTGTTGGGCTGTCTGATGCGAGGCGGATGCGAGACGGGTGTAAATGGTGCACGGAAACAAGACAAGCGAGTGACAAGGGGAGGGGGGTGTGGGATGATGATGAAGAAGCAATGCAGCAGGGGCAGCGACGCAAGACACACAAGGAGGCTCGGTGGTCGTGCTGAAGCAAGCAACGTGGGAAGCGAAGGAAGGTGAGCGCGAGAGGAGGGAGGGGGGTGCCTGTGCAGAACGCATTCATGTGCCAGTGGTGGTTGGTGTTTTGCTTTGCTTTTGCTTGTTGCTTCTGCGCGTTTTGCATGCAGGCACATTCGACTGAATTCAGTCAGTACACTTTTGTGGTGTTGTAAAGAGCATCTGCACGTGGCTCGCGAACAACAAGCAAACAGCCAAGAAGAGACTGTGGTCATGGATCCGTTTGCACTGCTGCGTGGTGGGTTGAGGTTTGACAAGGAGAAGGATGACAAGGTGCGGCAGATCTTCGAGGCAGACTCTGAGGATGACGACAGCACTTCCCAAACCCTCGTCGTGAAGGTGTGGTGCTCTTATGTCGTGAATGACGTGAATTGTTTGTGAGTGTGTGAGTGTGTGTGAGTGAGCGAGTGAGTGCTTGTGTGCTTGTGAAGAAGAGCCGTTCAACCTTGTGTTGGTTCATGTGTCGTACGCACTCACTCGCACGCTCATCGTGCTCACATGCACCGTGCTCACATGCACCGTGTTCACGTACTTGGGCTGTTGTTGGTGAGAACAGACAAAGCCAAAGGGAAAGAAAGGCAGGGAGGCGAGCAAGAGGAGACATGATGACCGTGACGACGATGACGACGATGATGAAGATGAGGATGACGGGGCAGAAGACGTGCACCAAGACAGCAGCGACGAGGAGGACGATGACGATGAGCTGGAAGTAGACCTGGATGAGGACGAGGACGAGGATGACGATGACGACGAAGAGGAGGACGGTGAGGAAGAGGATGACAGTGTTGAAGGGAGGCTTGCCAAAGCCAAGCGAATTGGCCCCAAGAAGGTGAGGAAGCAGCATCAGATCCAAGTCAAGGGCGACGATGTGCCTCCGCCCGTTGTTGCATTTCAGCAGCTGAGCGACTATGATGTGCCGAAAGTCGTCCTCTCAAACCTCTGCAAGATGCACGAGAAGCCAACGCCAATCCAGGTGTGGTGGTGGTGTGTGTGAGTGTGTGAGTGTGTGTGTGTGTGTGTGAGTGTGTGAGTGTGTGTGTGTGTGTGCGTGTGCGTGTGTGCGTTATGTGCTGTGTTGCGTGACAAGATTGACCGTAGAGCAGACGTGGGCGTCTGGGGGCGAGGTGCCAGCTGCGTGCGTTCGTATTGCTCACGTCAACACGCATCAACACGCATCAACACGCATCAACACTCCATCCTCATCTTCATCGTGCGTTTGCCAGATGCAAGCCATACCAGCCATGCTGAAGAAGCGAGATGTGGTCGGCATTGCTCCAACAGGTGCGTGCACGTGCGTGGTTGTGTGTGAGTTTGCTCCTCAGGTTTTACGTTTGTGTCATTGCTAGTGTTGTTCTGAGCCAACGCTGTTTACCTTTCTTCATCCAAACGAACCACACATCCTCACCATCCGAATACAACCTTCATTCATGCCATCCGCTACCACCGCTACCACCATCCTCAACGCTACCACTGTCACATCAGGTTCTGGCAAGACGTGTGCGTTTTCGTTTCCGCTGCTGGCGAATCTTGGCAAGCACGATGACAGCGGCATCCGCGCTGTTGTCGTCGCGCCCACGCCCGAGCTCGCATTTCAGGTGCCGTGCGGACCTCCGGGGAGGAAGAGCGGGGAGGGAGGAGGGATGAGTGTGTTGTTGCGTGCATGTAGATGTGTGTGCGTGTGTATTTCAAGTGCACCCACGTTTACTGTTCACTACGTTTGAATGATGATGTGAAGTACATTTCGTCTCAACTCACATTCGCACCAATCCGCACACACACGCACACACACACACGCACACACACACACACACACACACACACACGCACACACACACACACACACACACACACACACACACACACACACACACACACACACACACGCACGCGTGTGCACAGATCAAGAGCGAGCTGGAGCTGTTGAGTCGGGGCAGCAAGCTGTCGATCCAACTGCTGACGAAAGCGAATGTCGGCAACGTCGCAAAGGCCCGCCAACGCTCCCACGGTTGTGTGCAGCATTTGTTGAATTTGTGGAGGGGGAGGGGATGATGAGGTGGTGTGATGTGTGTGTGTGATGTGTGATGTGTGTATGTGATGTGATGTGTGTGTGTGTGTGTGCGATTGCACAAAGTCACTGCTAAGTCAACCATCGCAGCAATGACACCGTCTCACGTCCTCATACCACCGCCAAACAACACCACAACACCGCCGCCATCATCAACACCCTCGCGTCTCGCCTGCAGACATCCTCGTGTCGACGCCGCGGCGACTCGTGTACTGCCTGAGCAAAGGGCTGATTGACCTTGCGAAAGTGTCGTGGGTGGTCATTGACGAGGCCGACACGCTGTTTGAAAACGGATACGAGACACAGCTTGATGAGATCTTGCACGCCTGCGCCAACAGGGAGCATGTCTCCCTCTTCAGCGCGACCATGGTCAGCGGCAATGGGGGGCGGGTGCGGTGGTGTGTGTGTGTGTGTGTGTGTGTGTGTGTGTGTGTGTGTGTGTGTGTGTGTGTGTGTGTGTGTGTGTGTGTGTGTGTGTGTGTGTGTGTGTGTGTTGTTGTTGTGTCGTCTAATGAGTTCAGCACATTTCACCATCTCACCGTTCCCCCATATCGCACGCGACCGACATCTCATCATCATCAGCATGCATCATCACTATCATCGTCCATCTGACGGAGTGTGGAGAGAATCTCGCGCGAACTGTTCTCTAAAATACATCAGGTGCGCGCGCACACACACTTGCACATACATGTGGAGTGCGGCGCTCGTGCTGTCTTTTGTT